AAAGCACCTCAGAGCGTTAGCAAAGCAACTTTGTGCATGCATCTCACTACACTCGGCTAAGAGTGTGTGGTTCTCCCATTTACTTAGCACACTCTTTTCCAACTAATCTGTGAGAAAGCGATCCACACAATGAGCGGTACAATCCGTGCGGCGCAGGGAGCGAATATAATACAACAAGCGCTAATGTCTTCTTTGAATTCTTTGCAGACTATGCTTATCACGACTGCATGTATAGGAGATAAAGAAGGGCATAACGAAGAAGAATTTTCCCATTTGCAACCTTACACTGAGTGGCGCTCTTTGCGGCGGAGCCGTCTGAGCGATGGCTACACATTGAGCTTTCTTTATTTCTGGGTGTGTGTGTCTGTTTTCTTTTCTCCGATGCTTTACACTTGCGCAGGGTGACAAGACAAGCAAACTTTGTGTTTGCTTGATTCTCACTTTGTTTATTTCAGAAAATCAGTACATTGCGCACATTGAGTGTTCAGATGACAGTCCTGCTTCCAAGTAGATTACTATAAGAATCCGACGGATCGAAGAGGAATTTTCAAATCGATGTCCAAGCCGGATTAACCTCGGGTAGAGTCCAAACAAGGATCGATGAGGAATAAGAATAAAACAAGGTCAAAAATAAGTAGGTAATATTTTGCACTTGCTGCTCAATTTCTTGTAGCTTTAGGTAGTAGTAATACTTCGTTAAGCAAATGCAGACGTAATGTTTCAGTTGGTATCACGTATTCCAAAAAGATGATTTTACCACTTATACCACTCAACATATCAATACTCAAAGTGCAAAACACCCCCAGTTGGAAAACGACGACTCCAAGTTGCCGCGTGAAATCCTGTTTCCACCTGAGAGGAGTTCAACTATGAGTAAACGTTTGATCATTTCTGCCATCAGTCGGTGGAGCAAATAGATAAAGCCTTTGGCGCGTGCATTTTTCTTCACTGCTGCCACTACGATGATGATGATGATGATGGCAACATGCACTTCAATACACACACATTCCGAGCCGGGAAGAGCTACGTTCGCTGGAAGTCACATCTTTCCCCAAGCACGGCACGGTGACAATCCAGCAACATTGAACCGTTTATTCCGTGAACGTACAAACAAATAACACAATTTAAATACATTTTCTCCACTCGCACACACTCTATTTTGTCCCGTCCTGTTTTCGTTTCCGATTGGGTTGTGTTCATTGAACACTTCATGCAAACGACAGGAGCAACAATGATGCTGGGGAAAAAAGGATTGTACCCATGTTATGTACGGAGAAGAGCTGAACTACACATGCAGCAATGATAAACAAATGTACCGGAATCGTATGAGATGAATATTAAATTTTCTGGCAAGAAGGAAATTTATGGCAGACTATAGGTGAGTGAGACGAACATTTAGCACACTGTTTGAGCCTAACTCAGTCGGCCCAAAATTCAGATAAATTCATCTCGAAGGGAAGAAGAGTTTCCCACGAAGCATTCGGCCAACGATTGCAATACTTGTCCAAGAACATGTTGCCCCTCACTCGAGATAATCATCCAAAGATGGCAAGGGGACCGAAATTCCGGACCCCTGAGTCGAGAAGTGAACGTGCGTTCAATGTTTTATGACTCTCTGGACGTCACTTTTCTGTGTGCAGATCCAAACACAGGAGAGTAGGCACCTACCTACGAGGGGAAAAAAAAGGATCCCAAAGAACCGGGGAAAGCAAGCACGTGTGACAAGAGTACCGGAGAAGGTGTTGTGTATGGAGTCCTGGGTGTGTGTGTACAAGAGAGATGAAAATTCACTTATAGAACATGACTTGATGAGGCGGAACGTGGGAGCAGGCTGAAACGGAACCCGGTAGAGTCAGTTTGGAAGAGGTAAACGTCGTTTGTGAAATTGATTTTATCTGCAAATATTATTCCGACACTTTTGGTGATGTTTCATAATGGAAGAAAATATGTTTGATTTATTGAGGTAGAAGGATCGGTTCACTCGATTCAAGTGACAATCTTTGGTTAATTTTAACTAAATGGGGCTCTCGGAGAATTTTCTAACAGTTGTAAATTCTCTGAAATATTACGGAAATAATTCACAGGAATTCCCCAGCCTGCACAGGAAAAAGCAACTAACTAATCCATCTCCATCTATTTTTTTGTTCCCAATTCTCGCCCCCGAAATTGCCACCGCTGGAACCAATGCGGCGACAATGGATAACGCCAACGTCCGAAAACCGAAAAAAAAAACAAGCCGTCGGTAAGCGCTGCCTCTACGACAGTCACTGCATCCCGAATGCTTACTGCAAAGGACAAATGATCTGTACGTGCAAGCGGGAATTCGGATATCTCTCGCCGGATAAGTGGTCATGTCAAGGTAATTTATCAAAATCTTCTTACCTCATGTTTGTCCCCGGAGAATTACTTCCTTCAACTGCATCTTCAGAGCAATGCAAGTCCATTCTCGGCTCAAACAAAAATCTAGCAAACAACACGAGCGAACCTCCCACGAACCCCCTTCTCAGCAATCCAACTTAATGCAGCACTAATTTATCCTTTTTGATTACAGCGTCAGCGGCAGACTCGCTGCACAGCCGGAAACCGACGAAGACGACGACGACGACGACGATGCTCCTGGCAGCCTCGGCGGGTGGAGTCATCATTATTCCACTTCTTCTCGTTAGCAGCTGGCAGTTGGAGATAAATTTATTTACAGTTTGATTGGATTAAAAATAAGCAACGGCCAATGTAGCCATGTAGATGGAGGAGACAGCGAGAAACGAATGGAACGGAACGACCCTTACGGAAATATGGAACCCCTGACCCCGTCACACCCATTAGCAACCAACCAGCCAACGAGCGAACGAACAAACGGCGAGTTGAGCAGAAGTCGAATTGTGTGCCGCCGCCTTTTCTTTTTACTTCTTCAACTATTGCCGGCAGCATCCCAACTCCCAACTCCCAGCATCGGCTAGCAGCTACTACTAACTATGGCTACCAGTCAGCGTGAGCCACTGCAATCATACATTACGTATTTGGTGCAAGCCGTTTTTCTTACTCACCCAACAGATCCCAGCTGCCTAAAATTGCGAAGATTGGTTTGGCACGGAGGGAAATGTTTTAAATTTAGTTTAATCTTTCTGATTTCAACTAAGCATTGGAAACCCACGTTAATGTTGCATGAATGTCATGAATTACAAATGAACTAATGTTTCCCATTTCTGATTATTGATACATCTAAATTGAAGATCATCCCATCTGAATACAACTTTTACTTGTTCAAATTTCCTGAGGGGGGCTGAAAACCTCTTTCAATGCATAGTGGTCCAGAATGGGATTAAAGCAGGAACGATGCATTTAAGGTGGTAAGCTCCAATCGGTATTATCCTTGGATTTAATCCCGATCAAGACTGTCCGGCTGCTTTGATATCGACATCAGAGTTAATCAACGTGACTTTAAGAAATTGTTTTGCAGATCATCCAAACAGGGACGCGGTTTTAAAAGCTAATCCGAGCTGGAGCTTACCGCCATTAGAGCTTGAAATTGAAACATTAGTAAAAGTGTCTTCTACGTACTTGTTTCTTATAGATAAGGAAAGATTTTGATGCCAAATAATACTAAAGTGGTCCATTTTTTTTTATTAATTTATTTGAAAAGGCTCAATTGAATTAACTTTACAGAGCCAAGGATTCTTGTTCACTATATACATCTTAACACTATAGTCCGAATATACAACGCAATAAATACTTTATCTTCCGCTATCCAATAAGCCATCTCCATCAGAACGGGAGCTGCTTCCAGTGGTTTCATTGTATTTCAGTATCGCCAATGTAGGCAGAGTGCTTTCATTGCAGCTAAACTGTTGCTACGACTACTATGACAAACTCGCTCTGTAACATAGCTCGATCGAAGTGATAGAAGGATAATAATATATTTGTTCGACACTGGGGTGGACTGTATCACCGGACGGATTTCGGTACTTTTGTGGAATGCACACGCGACGATTATTAACATAAAACACTTTTATTGTGGTCAAATAAATACCCAACTGTTCGGACACTGTTTATTTGTTTGTCTTTCGATAGACGGACAGAGTACTTCTTCTGCGCGCGCGGATGATTTATTAACTACTCAATACTGATCGGTGATCTTCTCCTACCTACTTCTTGCGATCGTGTAGTGGATGAGAGAAAATGAGAGTGAGTGCCTATTGTTTGTGTGTAGTGTTATATTAGGGTGTGATAACAGAGATAGTGTGCTTATGTGCTATGGGAAACGAGCTGATTGTTGTATAGCTGTAAAACAAATTAGGATAGGTTGACCAACATCTTATTTTGTGCCAACATACCGGCCACCTTGAAATGTTAATTTCGACAGATTACTCCTACTGTTTCTAACTAAATCTACACTAATCACTATATCTAACATAAATTTTTCACGATCTACTGGATTCCGTCCACATCTCACTTGGCTTCGTAGGCTCTGGCGTCACTGCTGATGATGCGCTCGGATGCTGTTGCTGAAATCATGCCACATACCATGGAAGTGTTGGAGAAAGCAATTAGGGTGCAGTATTTCCTAGTCCTGGCTACGGTAGGACATATACTATTTTTATTTACCTAGGAAAACTGTTCTGTCGCCTGCTTCCCTTCTTCGGTCGTTCTTGATTTCGATTGCTTCGGTTATTTGATGAATGAATCCTAGGAGTGACGCTTCCGACCCGTCCGATCGGAGGAGCACCACTTTGTTCATCTCCGGTTGATTCCACGAATCTTGATTCCTGGCTCAACTACCAGCGACTGATGTTGTTGCGTCTTGGGGTATCACACGGAATGACGGATGACTTCGGAATGTTGGGATGTCCACGATGCCTGTCTCGGGAGCCTCCTGGCCTCCACGAGTGCCTGATTGCGCTACAAAATGAGAGGGGTCTTTTTCAACTGAATTACAGAAATACAGATTAACTTGCCTGACTACAGCGCCGATGACGACGATCCTCGTTGATCATCGTGATACTCTATGCCAGTAGAATGGGATTAGGATAGGCAACCAGAAAAGGTCCACAGTAATCGACACCAACTTTCAGGAACGGTGGCGCGGGTGTAACTCGTTCCGACGGCAAATCTGCCATTAGCTGATCCAACACTTTCGGTCTGCAGCGGAAGCACGGCACGCATTCGTTGATTACGGTGTTGGCTAATCGTCTGATCTGCGTGGGCCAGTACTTCTCCCGTACTCTTCTTATGAGAAGCTGTTGCCCAGCGTGGAACAATTTCTGGTGGTAGTGTATGACTACTAGTTTGCCCAGGGGATGATGATAGCTGAGAATCGCTGGATGCTTGCGGCTCGCTGGAATAGATGCCTTAGATAGCCGACCACCTACGTACAGTACCCCATCAACGAGAATTGGTGTGAGTCTGTTGATCGATGACGACGGCTTGACTTCATTTCCGCTCTGGAGTGCAGAAATCTCCTCCGGAAACGATTCCCTCTGAGACAAACGGATTAATGATAGCATAGCTTCTTGGAGTTCAGCGTGGCTGAGATACCCATTGCGTCTTTCTTCGCAGTTGTGGATGAAGCGACGAATCCATGCAAATTTACGGATCAGCGTAGATAGAGAGGAATGAAGTGAAAAGATGTCGCTGTGTTGCTTGGACTGTGCTGGAATTGCGACTGCACTTCGCTCTTCTAGCAGTGATTGCTCGAAATCTTCCTCAAGACTTCCCGCCGGCCAGGTGCTGCGGTCTCGACGCAGCCATGGTGGACCTTCAAACCAAATCGTGCTGTACTGAAGCTGAGCCGGTATCATCCCTCGTGACACGATGTCAGCTGGGTTCTCCAAGCCAGCGACATGATTCCAATCGAAACCCTTCGTGATGTGCTGAATCTCGGACACGCGATTCGCTACGAACATCTGCCACCTCGATGGCAGCGAAGATAACCAATGCATTGCGATTGTCGAGTCTGTCCAGAAGCTTGCGGTGTGCGGAATACGAATGCTGTGCTTGACCTTCGAGTACAGATGACTGAGGAGCAGTGCGGATGACAACTCGAGGCGAGGGGTGGTTAACTTCTTTTTGTTGCGCTTGAGATCCTCCAGTGGTGCTACTCTCGATTTGGAAATCAGCAGCCGAACTTCTACTGAGCCATCCGACAGTGTACAACGCATGTAGAGGCATGCACCGTATGCCTTGTCTGATGCGTCACAGAAACCGTGCAACTCGACCGAAATTGCATCAGATGTGTATCCTATCCACCGAAGAATTGAAAACGACGAGAGGGCTATCAAATTCATCCTATACTCCTGCCAAAAGTTCTGCATCGCTTCGAGTAGTTGATCATCCCAACCGCACTGCTGCTTCCACAATTATTGGAGAAATATCTTGGCAATGACGACAACTGGACCCATCAATCCTAACGGGTCAAACAGGCGAGCTGCTTCTGCGAGAACGACGCGTTTCGTGAGCACTGCTTCGTTTTCCCACTTAGGAGAATGGTATCGGAAATTGTCTGAATGCGGCTCCCACAGTAACCCCAAAGTTTTCACTGGTGAAGTTGAGGAATCAAGCTCTAAAGTAGCACGATCATCGAGGAGATCGGATGGCAATTCGGCTAACAATTCCTTGCAGTTGGAGTTCCACTTTCGCAGGTTGAATCCACCTGATGAAGTTAGCATGATCATTTCCTTTGCCAGCTGCTTCGCTTCGTCGACGTTGTCCGCTCCAGTCAGCATGTCATCGACTTAAAAATCTTCCTTCAACACCTTAGCTGCGCGAGGATAAGCGAGAGCTCCTTCTTCTGCCAGTCGCTGTAAGCACTTTGTCGCCAAGTATGGTGCAGATGCAGTCCCGTAAGTGACAGTTGCTAACTCGTACGTTCAGATCGGTTCGTCAGGGGAATCTCGGTAGACGATCCGCTGTAGGCATCGGTCGAGTAGATAGATGAGTATCATCCGGTACATTTTTTCCACATCCGCTACAATGGCAATGCGGAACAAACGGAATCGGAGTGTGATGGCGATCAAATCCTCCTGAAGTACAGGTCCAACTATTAGCGCATCGTTGAGCGATACACCGCTGCTGGTCTTACATGACGCGTCGAAAACGACACGTAGCTTCGTTGTTGTACTATCCAGTTTGAAAACTGCATGGTGGGGAAGATAGTACACGGGAAACTGCTCTTCGACGTCCGGAACTTGCACCATGTGACCAAGTCGCTCGTACTCGTGGATGAAATCTGCGTACGCTGCCTTCAACTCGGGATTCAACTGGAACCGCCTCTCCAAGCCCAGAAATCTCCTTGTCGCTATGTTTCTGGACTCGCCGAGCTGATTGATGATGAATTCACGCTTTGGATAAATCTGCCTGCATCATCACGAGTGGTTGTTTGATCGAAGAATACTTCACACGCCGTCTCCTCTACCGATTGACTACTACTGGAACGACAGGTTTCTATCTCCCAGAACTTCGTCAACTGTTCTTGCAGGTTTGCAAGTGTGCACGAATACGACAATGTGCGATGCATCGTGCCTGGTTGATCGGCTGCTCGACCGGAAACCACCCATCCAAAGACTGTATTTTGCAGTGTAGGGCCTTCATCTCCAACCTTCTCACGACCGTCAGAGAGCAGATTGAAGTAGTGTTCTGCTCCGATTATCAGATCAATGCGACCAGGTTCGTGGTACTGGGGATCCGCAAAGCTGATGTTAGTCGGGAGCGTCCAGTGGTTCACGTTGATTCTTCGTGCAGGCAAGGTTGCCGTTAACTTCGGCAAAACGTAGAAATTCATCTCCTCACGGTACGATGATATTTCCTGAGAGCGAGGTAGAACTGCTGCCTTAACTACCTTCCGCGCTACGACGACTGAATCACCGATTCCTTGGACTGACAGGTGTTCAGGTGAAGCCCGAAGCTTGAGTTTACTGGAGAAGTTCGTCGTCATGAAGCAGAATTGCGAGCACGAATCTAGTAACGCTCGAGCTAGTCGTGAGTTACCGTAACTATCTTTAACACACACAATGGCGGTGGACAGTAGAATATCTTGTGTGGATAGTGTATTGGCACAAACGAAGTGACAGACGGAGCGGCTCGAAAACTTTGGTGACTAACCTTCTATTGCAATTTTTCAGTGTACCACATGGCAACACCACTACTACTGGATTGTACCACATGGCAACACTACTATTGGATTGAACTAGCATTTTCACCAAATGTACTAGAATATTTTGGTTCTATCTCTTTCACTCTACTCAAAACTGAAATGCATAAAAAAATGACAAAATGATACGCACTCTTTGCACTCTGTCAAAGAATCATTGTACACAAAATCAACTTTGTTCAAATCAAAACAAAAAAACTAACCCATCTGGTGGATGATGGCACAAGCTTCCAAGAAAATTCTATTACAGTGAACCACATTATTTCAATGGATTTCTTCGCCAGTAAGTCGTCTGTCACTTCGTTTGTGGTATTGGTTGGATGCGCGATAGTGTTCTGGGTTGTGCATGGTTGGTTTGTGGTGGACAGTGGTGCAGTGTTATGCAAGTGTAATACGGGAAGAGAGCTTGTAGACTGGTGAGCGCTGTGAGCGTGTGTTTGTTGGTTCTGGTTTCGTATTTGTGTCTGTCGTTGTTGCTGATTACCAGCTGGAGGTCTACTTTGCTCTTGTGGGACGGAGGATATATTTCTAATAGCGCTTGACTGCTGTGATTCTGGGTGCAACAGGGAGTGATGCTTCTGATTACAATGGTGGCACACGCCCTTGCTGCAAAATCGTGCCTGATGTCCTGGCGATAGACAGTTCAAGCAGAGTCTGCCTCTTTTCACAGCATCACTGCGTTCATGTACCTTCAGCTTCAAAAATTTCACGCAGCGAAAAGCGGAATGAAATCCGTCCCCACAAAACGGACACTTGTTCGATGACTTGACTGCTGAGTTGCTGACGGACGGCTTCGATCGTTTCTCTGGTATCGGCGTAGATTTGGCAGGAGCGACGGACTGCAACACGGAGCAATGATCTCGTAGGAAGTGGATGAGGTTTTCATACTTCGGCACCTCCTTCGAATTATGATGTGCTTCCCAGTTCCGAAGCGTTGCTGAGTCCAAACGAGAACCACCATGTGAACCAGAATGGTGCTCCAGTCATTGGTCTTTTCTCCTACCTTCTCCAACATCAGCAGGTTTTTATCGAATTCGCTGATAAGACGATTAAGCGACTCGTAACTCTCCCTCCTGGTTGGCTCCACAGCAAAAAGTGCACCGAGATGAGCCTTGACGATCAGTTTTTTGCTTTCGTACCGTTTCTCCAGCGTTTCGCAGGCAACTGCGTAATTTACGTCAGACAATTCCTCCGAGTTGATTTCCTGTAACGCTTCTCCATTCAACGACGGTCGAAGGTACGTAAACTTGTCCATATCCGTTAGCTGTGGATTATTATGGATCAAGCTACGGAATGTATCTCGGAACGTTACCCATTCCTTGAGCGGTCCACTAAAGGTTGGCAAGCGAATCTCGGGAAGCTTAACACGTGATAATCCTGCACTGGCACCGTGTGCGACTGGTTGAGTGTTAGCCGTAGGATCTACCAGCTTCGGTCGAAGACTCATCAGAATGGCCTTGAGGGTACAGTACTTGTCTTCAGCATCCATGATAATCCTCGCATTTTCTTCATCTTTCTTGGGATCCATTGCAGCATCTTCTTCATCGTCGTCAACATCATCCGTCAGTAGTTCGATCTTCCTACGGACGTTGTGGAATTCCTTGAAGGCAATTTCCAGTCGCTCCAACCGAACATTCACTTGCACACTATGCACTTCAACATCGAATCCTTCAACGAACAATTTCACTGAATCAAATGTCTTCAAGATGTTCCGTTCTTGTTTCACCAAGTCACGCAATTCATTAGCCATTTCCACTGATAGTTAATGTTCATTTACAATGTCACAAAAGTTCAAACTGTTCACACACAGAAATATTTAACACTGCACTGTAATTCACTCCACTGTGCACCCGTACCCGTAATCGAATTATCGACTCGACGTCCCACGCAACCCCGCGGTTGACAGAGACAGGGGGAGCAAAGCAAAAGCATCAACAGCAGCGAAAGAATGCAACCAAGCAGATAACCATAAACCAGTGAAAAGCCAGCAGAAATTTAAGACCAACCGCAATAGAAAACACAGAGGCTAAATGGATATCTACAATTCCCGTATGGGATGAAAAATACTCGCATGCATTTAGAGGATCGATTTATTCAGCACCTCCTTTTATTTACTGCAATACACTTTCCCACCGGTGACTCGCATGCATAGAGTCCACCATCAAACCTTTTACACATGCAATCTACTTCCCCGTTTATCCGATGGCGCCTATCGATCCTTTCCGCTGTTCCTTTGCTGCTGCTACGATCAGCTGATTTAGAGATGGCTGGACTGGAACAAATCAGCTGTCTGCCTCCAGCGATGGTGGTGATCGAGGTCGGCGAATGATTGTTACAGGTCACTGCACTTGTACCATAGAGGTAACTCTAAGACAAGTAGGTCCCAAAGAAACGTGCTCAACTTTTTGGCTCACCTCTGGTACTATCTTCGGTCCCAAGCTTGTCGAATCACCCCTCGAAACATAGGAAAAACCAATAACCCCTCATTTTATCTGTCAAACTTTCATAGCGAATCAAAACAAACATTGCGTAGTACTAGAATTTCGACTAGAATAGGGTACGTTAATCGTTTGCTTGGGACCAATAGGCTACTAAAGTGGTGAGCCAATTTAAAATCGTTAGTTTCGTATTGATTGTTGCTTGTACAGCCTCTTCGATGGCTACCTTTCACTGAGTCTTTTCACAGGGAGTCTTATTGTCCATATCACTGGTCACTTTTTCAGTCCAAAAGTCCCCGAAATCCGGCTCGAAGGACCAAAAATGTTCGACACTGGGTTGGACTGTATCACCGGACGGATTTCGGTACTTTTGTGGAATGCACACGCGACGATTATAAACATAAAAACACTTTTATCAACAATCAATACGAAACTAACGATTTTAAATTGGCTCACCACTTTAGTAGCCTATTGGTCCCAAGCAAACGATTAACGTACCCTATTCTAGTCGAAATTCTAGTACTACGCAATGTTTGTTTTGATTCGCTATGAAAGTTTGACAGATAAAATGAGGGGTTATTGGTTTTTCCTATGTTTCGAGGGGTGATTCGACAAACATGGGACCGAAGATAGTACCAGAGGTGAGCCAAAAAGTTGAGCACGTTTCTTCGGGACCTACTTGTCTTAGAGTTATCTCTAT